AGTTGACTTTGGGGTTGATTTTGGGTGTGTTTCTATGTTTAAATAGTGCTTGGGTTTTTTATAAATACATGTCTAGAATTTGGTTTATTTATAAATTTGTACAAAATTTATCCATCACAAATCAGAACACAAGAAAACACTGAAAGAGGGCCCTTCTTTTGTTGTACTGATTATTTGGCTACGTATACTAAAATACAATACAAGTAGCCATCCAAGCTGTAAATGTAGCTGAAAAACCAATCCATGATATGTATATTCATTTATTTATAGGTCCCTTAGGCTGTCCATGGTGGTTAAAGTTGTAGGTTGAGCATTGTAAACGCATACCCTAGAACTAGCCAAAACTTGAAAAAAGTGTAAGTGCGATGGTCGGTGGTGCTTTTTAAATGTTTGCAAGTAGTGGCAGCTCTTAATGATGTACAGCTTCTTGTCTGATTGTTGTGGGTTTCTTCTGAGCCGCGCATAAAGTTGGGAACTACATACAAAACGCACAGATGTAACCACTGTTGTTGAATGCCGTATGGGCAACTTTTAATGCCCAGAAAAACTTCCGGGTGTGGACGGATTCAGAATTTTAAAATAGGGTGGGTTTAATTTATTTTGCGTATAAACTTATTAAGTTCATTTCTAATGCTAGATAACTCAAACCCAACATTTCCACCTCTAAAATAGAATAATTCATGTATATATCATACTCAACTAATTTTTCAAAATTCTTTTTTATGTTAATTTTACAATATTAAATAAAAATTTATTACAATTTTAAAGCTGAGGAATGGGGTGTGATTTTAATCTAAACAAAAATTTAACTGGTAAGTGTGGCTTTTAATGTTCATTGTTTATGTATGTGAAGATTTTTGTTTTTTGTTTTTATTTATGTGAAGAGTTCAATATTAATAAAATTTGAGAAGTGTGGTGAAACATTAGGTGGACTAAAAAAGGGGGGTGTGTCACACACAACTCCGCCAAGTCAGTGCAGTAAATCTGTCAGTTGGGGTCCATTTACATGGGTTTATTGGAACTTGGGGGAGTGAACTCAAGTGTGCTGGGTTTGCTATTTTAGACTAGAAAAAATAAATAAATAAATAAAATTTGCTTGGGCTATAACTTAGGTTAGTCGTAGGGACGGTCCGTCTTGACAATGGGGTTGTTCGTCGCGTACTTGATTTATGAGTAAATCTAATTAAACATGTGTTATTTTGGTTTAATTGGATTATTATATTACTCAACACTGTCGTGTGACATAAACAATTCCACCAACTCTTTTTGACCCAAAAAAAAAAAAAAAAAACTTGTTAGAATCCAAGTTATTTATAGAATGGAATGCAAATTGCAAAGATATGTGGAACCAACCAGATCATAAATTATTGTTGTTTTATATAAATATATATACAATAAGGTCCATACAAATCCATGAATGATTGAGATTCGTTTATTGGTCATAATAACCCTTGTTGTAGGTAACATACAATGCGAACAAAATGTGGACGGGGACAAGCACATAAGATCATTCCTTGTAGTATTTAAATGGAAGATTTACTTGAACCACATGTTTGTGTGGGTCGTACGATGCGTTAAAAAACGATGAACCCTAGGTGTATGTGATTGTGGAATATTATTATGTATAATGTATGTATTGTTGACAAGGGACAAGTGTTGTATAATAAACCGACCATAATTATCCTTTGATTAAACTTTTATATGCATTCACGACAAGAAATCATCTACACGCACGTGGACGACTGTTGTCATAAAATCTCCTCACGCTCTATTTAGAGAAGTGTAGAAGTTTTTCCTTCTTTTTTAACCGTTGTCTAGTTTTCTACCTATACTAGGAAAGACAAGATCCTTCAACTTTACAGTGTCTAATCCTCCAACGTCATTGTTTGTCCTATTAATGTTTATGACTAGTTACAAAGGAAAGGAAGTGTGATTTTATTCGACCGCCACAAAAGTAAGTCTCTCTCAATCACTTTGTTGTGTGTGGGGCGGTAAATTCAGGGAATCAAACTCAAAACACACAAACAATCAGATTGTAACCTTTTATGCATAAAATAATGAGGCCGGCCCAATCAGATGATCAACAGGTTTTTTCCATTTTTACTTGGTGGGGTCATTACGATTTTTAAATTATCATATTATCCCTACCTTGCCGCCACCTGTCACAGGTAGGGGAGGAGAGAAGCGTCTTATCTATTGAGATCGTTATTGCGTGGAGGGAAAAGTCAATTCCTAACGGTATTAAAAAATAAAAATAAATAAAAAATATTATTTACATTGCCCCCAAAAAAAAAAAAAAACAGTTGGAAATAACTGAAATATTCTTTTCATGGTGTCTGGTTGAATTCAATATTCTTTTTTCTGCATAATTTTTCCAAATTGTACATGAAACTAAAAAGAATTATTATTTTTAAAGACTCTTTCCTGAACATTATAATTTTTATAAAAAGAGAAAAGAGAAATGTTTTTCGCAACCTTTGAATTCCACTTCAGTTGCCCACAACACAAACAGACAGCTCTCCCATCACTACCTCCACCACCACCACCCAGTAGATATTTTATTTATTTATACATTCTGAATTGTATAAATAAATCCCATCTCATTTTGGTCCATTTGGAAAAGCAAAACAAAAAGAAAAGAAAAAGAAAGAAGAAGAAAAGATTATTAGAGCTCTCAGACTCAAACTGAGAGTCAGACTCAGACTCAGACTCAGAGATGCAAAGAGAAAGCAAAGAGAAAACAGAGCATCTCCATCTTCCACTCGGCCAAGTACCCTCTTTTTGTAAGACAGGGTCCTCTGAGTCTGCCTAAAACCACTGCTAATAAGGCAAAACCCAAAACCCAAATACCCGAAAAAGAAAAAAGAAAAAGAAAAAAGAAAAAACGGTGGGATTGTGTCGGTGAATTTGGATTTATTTTGGGATTTTTGTTTTCTTTTGTTGGGTTTCAGAGACGTGGAGGCTTACCCAGATGGCAAGCTTAGTGGCCAAGTAGCATGCAAACCCTCTCTCCCCCAAAAAGCAGCCCACTCGTTTTGCATTCTCACACCCACAAAAACCCAAACACCAAACCCCTCAACAATTGAAGAACCAGAAGAAGATGGACGGTGGAGGAGGTGTGGCAGAAACTAATAGGAAGCGAGGGGTTGAGAACGACAAGCCGTACAAGGGGATAAGGATGAGGAAGTGGGGCAAGTGGGTGGCTGAGATTCGAGAACCCAACAAGCGCTCCAGAATTTGGCTCGGCTCCTACTCCACCCCCATCGCCGCCGCTCGGGCCTACGACCCGGCCGGTTT